CTTCTTCTTCTCATTCTACTTCTTCTTCTTCTTCTTCTTCTTCTTCTTCTTCTCATTCTTCTTCTTCTTCTCATTCTTCTCTTCTTCTTCTTCTTCTCCTTCTTCTTCTTCTTCTCATTCTTCTTCTTCTTCTTCTTCTCATTCTTCTTCTTCTTCTTCTTCTCATTCTTCTTCTTCTTCTTCTTCTTCTTCTTCGTCGTGCCCCGTGACTGCCCAAATGAGTGAAGTGTGCGGTGATTCTAAGATCGACGGCACTCATCTGCATGTCATACTGACTGACAGTATTATTTCTCTTCCCCAGCAGACTCCAAGGGCATTTAAATTAAAGGTACAGTGTTCTGCACTAATATAAAGGCTCTCTGAAGCCTAGAAACCCTTTTAATAAGTTAAATTCGCAGCGAATAAATTCGCATCGAATCGAATTTCTTCCGCAAATTCGGCGAATCAGCCGAATCGAATTTTTGAATAATTCGCTCATCTCTAATTGTGACCATCCAATCTGTGCAGTTCCTCAATAATACGGTGCTATTAGTTGTGCAAATTCCACTATATCAATGACACCACCAAAAAAAAAATGTGCTCCATCCACCACCAGATAAATTGGATGAACTCACCAGAGCGATATGCTGTTGAAATTATAGACCAGAATAAATGCTGGTTGCTCTAAGAGTGATAGTCTGCAGCCCGCAATCCTATCTTTAAAGACTTCTTAAATTAATATGCCACTCATAAGAAGGAAAAGAGAAAAAGAGCCTTCATAGCGTAAAACCATTGAAAATATTTAGTAAAACTGCAAAACATATGCATTTACAATGTTCTGTGTCTCCACTGACACAAGTGAAACAGTCATAAATCGTGAGTACTGTTATCCCTGGCAGTGTAGAAACTGCTACAGCGAGACAACAATGCCTGCATGGTGACGTCACCTCCTGGCCCCGCCCTATATGTTTAGTCACTTGATGTCCTCTAGGAGCAGAAGGACATACATCACCTTGCATGCAATATTTATAGTGTGTTGGTCATGGAAACCGCTCTCCGCATGGTATATACAAAGGTATGTATAATAAACTCAATACAAAAAACTTTTTTAAACCCACCTCATTATCCAAGAATGAATGTAAAATATACACTAAGACCTTCTTTAAAGACACTGACAGAAACAGTTATATCTCCACCACTAGTTGCCACCATCCCAGGTGGATTTACAATACCCCTAATAGCCAGTTCATCAGGATTAGAAGGAATTGCAATTTAGAAACCAATTATATCTAGCAGATTGACAGATTAATAGATATATTCTCAGAGAAGGGCTACAAGAGAGCCTTTTTGGAGAAAGAAAGTTTTAAAAAAGGAGAGAAAATAATTACTTAAGGAAAAAAAGAAAAGGAATACTATTCCAAAAACAAGTTGTGAGTTTATTACTGACTTTACAAAGAGGTGGAAAACATTAAGAATTATTGGCCCATTTTTACAAAAAGATGCTGTTCTTAGGAAGGTAATCCCTGATATGCCCAAATCAATATATAGAAAATATAAGTCCCTCAGGAATAGGATCATGCATAATGTCATTGATCCCCCCAACAAGCTGAAGATGTTTTATGATACAGATGTTTTTATTTAGATGTAATAAGTATAAAGTGTGTAGAACAGTAAAAGAGGAGAAGAGAAAATAAGATAGATTTAGGTCCACATCTAGTAATAAAGAATATACCATTAGATCTTGTATTACAGTGATACCTTGGTTCAAGAACACTTCTGTTCACGAACAACTCGGTTCATGAACAGAATAGATCACAAAAATTTGCTGCAGTTCGCAAACTCTGCTTTGATTGATGAAAACGAGCTGGGCCATCTTCCCTGCTCTGACACGTGGTCTTGACTTCCTGTAGGCAAGATAGCGCTCACAGACAAACACTGAAAGTGTACTGTGAAGACACTTACTGTACTGAGAAGCTTTTTGGTGCACATACTGTACAGTACTGTACTGTACATCCCTGTACACACTTGCTGTAAATCTTTTGTGTGTGCTTTTTAGCACATAGTGTACATCCAGTATGGCTCCAAAGAAAATTCAGAGAAAGCATGATAGTAAGAAGAAAGTGTGGAGCGGTAATGAAGGTGACAAGTATGTGCAGAGCAAGCATGTTGTTAAAAAGTAAGTGCAGAGTGGTAATAAAGGTGACCAGAACGTGCAGAGCAGTAATGAAGGTGACAAGAATGTGCAAAGCAAGCATATTGTTAAAAAGTAAGTGCAGAGTGGTAATGAAGGTGACCAGAACGTGCAGAGCAAGCATGTTGTTAAAAAGTAAGTGCAGAGTGGTAATGAAGGTGACCAGAACGTGCAGAGCAAGCATGTTGTTAAAAAGTAAGTGCAGAGTAGTAATGAAGGTGACCAGAACGTGCAGAGCAGTAATGAAGGTGACCAGAACGTGCAGAGCAAGCATGTTGTTAAAAAGTAAGTGCAGAGTAGTAATGAAGGTGACCAGAACGTGCAGAGCAGTAATGAAGGTGACCAGAACGTGCAGAGCAAGCATGTTGTTAAAAAGTAAGTGCAGAGTGGTAATGAAGATGACCAGAACATGCAGAGCAGTAATGAAGGTGACAAGAATGTGCAGAGCAAGCATGTTGTTAAAAAGTAAGTGCAGAGTGGTAATGAAGGTGACCAGAACGTGCAGAGTAGTAATGAAGGTGACAAGAATGTGCAAAGCAAGCATATTGTTAAAAAGTAAGTGCAGAGTGGTAATGAAGGTGACCAGAACGCGCAGAGCGGTATTGAAGGTGACAAGAATGTGCAGAGCAAGCATGTTGTTAAAAAGTAAGTGCAGAGTGGTAATGAAGGTGACCAGAAGCACCACCCCAACAAGTGACATTGGACAGATTTTTCACCAAAACTGAGCCTGCAGCTAAGAGACAAAAGAGGAAACCCTTGAAGTAGATCTTCCTAGTGTCCTTATGGAGGGGGACTCTCCCTCCGTGCCGAACAATAACTGCTTCCCACCTGCCTTCCTGTCCTCTATGCCAGAAGTCGTCTCAAGCAAGGTTAGTGTTCTCTCTCTTCATACTGTACTGTACTTTGTTTCATATTTTTGTGGTGCAAAAACAAAAAAGTTCCGAACAGATTAACCTAATTTACATTGAACCTTATGGGAAAATTTGATTTGGTTGGCAACCAAATTCAGTTCGTGACCACGTTCATAGGAGTCAGAACAGATTAACCTGATTTACATTGAGCCGAATGGGAAATTTGCTTCAGTTTACGACCAATTCAGTTCGCAACCAGAGTTGTGGAACGAATAAAGTTCATGAACCGAGGTATTAATGTACTTGTGATTCCATCCATGTAGTATATGTTCTTGAATGTCCCTGCCAGAAGCAATATAGGACCAGAAGGAAATTAATAACAAGAATTGGGGAACGTATTAACAATATTAAAAATTGATTTGAGAAGCAAATCCTCTGTCTCTAGACATTTCAAGATGAAATATAATAAGGATCCCAGTTTTGCTAAGGGTTTATGGTATTGAAAAAATGAATAATCATTGGAGGAGGAGTGATATGTTGAAGGAAGTGTCTAACAGGGAGACCTTTTGGACTTTTGAATTAGGGACTTTATGTCCACAAGGGTTAAATATAGATATGAATTTAAATTGTTTTATAACAAACTTTTGAGGACTGTAGAATATTTGTCAGATTAGGTGAAAGGACGGAGGTCTCCTTTAGAGGTGTATGGTGCCTGTTAAATCAGCTGCCATTTGTAGATATGGAATACATGTGACTTGTTACGTTTTTTTGTATTAAGAGTTTATTGTACATGCCTTTTGTATATACCATGCGGAAAGCAGCTACCATGACCACGGTCCAACACACTATAAATATTGCGTGCGAGGTGACCTAAGTCCTTCTGCTCCCGAATGTGCAGGGCGGGGCCAGGAGGTGGCATTACTACGCACAGCATTGTTGCCTCACGGTAGTTGTTTCTTCTACACGGCCGAGGATAACAGTTATCACGATTTATGACTGTTTCACTTGTGTCAGTGGAGAAACGGAACATTGTAAGTGCATATGTTTTGCAGTTTTAATAAATATTTAAGTGGTTTTATTCTATGGAGGCTCCTTCTCTCCTTTCCTTCCTATGAGTGGTATACAGTATCAGTTTAAGAAGTCTTTGAAGATAGGATTGCAGGCTGCAGACTGTCACTCTCAGAGCAGCAAGCATTTATGCTGGTCTATAATTTCACTAGCATACCGCTCTGGTGTGTTCATCCAATTTATCTGGTGGTGGATGGAGCACAATTTATTGGCGGTGTCATTGATATAGTGGAATTTGCACAACTAATAGCACCGTATTATTGAGGAACTGCACAGATTGGATGGTCACAAGGAGTTTTGTCGGACTTTGTGATGATGCAATAACGTTCATAGTCATTTATTGGACACATTTTTTGGCACTTTATTGTTTTATTTGATTGCACTAATCACTTTATAATTCATAAATATATTTCAAATGTGATGAGATAGAATGTCATGTATTAGTCACAGATTATATCGTATTAGACTATATGTGTATTGGAGGTATAGGAGGGTTTGTTACATTTTATTAGTTTTTTGCACAAAACCTGTAGCACAAATTGCACAAGGGGATTTTTCTATATATTATTTTTTTCATATTTTTTAGTCATTCCATCTTTTGAATTCGATATCAGTGAACAGCACCATTACATATGTATAGATTTGTTCATTTAATGGGATTCTCTATCTGAGTGGTCTAGGGGTTCATAGTGCAGTCCTATATATTATATTTAAACCACTTGCCTACTGAGCACTTCTACCCCCTTCCTTACCAGGCCAATTTACAGCTTTCAGTGCTGTCACATTTGAATGACAATTGCGCTGTCATGCAACATTATACCCATATGAAATGTTTATCATTTTTTTCTCACAAATAGAGCTTTCTTTTGGTGGTATTTACTTGCCACTGGGTGTTTTACATTTTGCGCTATAAACAAAAAAAGTTTCTTTGTTTCTATTTTTGTTTATAAAATTTTGCAAACAGCTAATTTTTCTCCTTCACTGATGTGCGTTGATGAGGCTGCACTGATGAGGTGGCACTGATGGGCACTGATAGGCAGCACTGATGGGCACTGATAGGTGGCACTGATAGGCAGCACTGATGAGCTGGCACTGAGTACGGATAGTCTGCACTGATAGGCAGCACTGACTGGCGGCACTGCTGGGCACTGACTGGTGCAACTGCTGAGCACTGACTGGCAGCACAACTAGGCACTGACTGGTGGCACTGCTGGGTGGCACTGATTGGCGGCACTGCTGGGCTGCACTGATGGGCACAGGTGGGTGGCACCTCTGGGCACAGGTGGGTGGCACTGCTGGGCACAGGTGGGTGGAACTGGTAGATGGCACTGCTGGGCACCGATCATCAGGGCACTGATCATCAGTGCCCTGATGATCAGTGCCGATCCCTCCTCTGACAACTGCCGGTTCTCGGCAGTACTTTCCTCAAGCTCTGACAGCGTGAGGAAAGTGCAGCTGAGAACCGGCAATTGCATTTCCCTGTGATCAGCGTGTCATTGGACACAGCTGATCACGTGGTAAAAGGCTGCTGTGTTTGGCTTTTTACCAAATCACGTGATCAGCTGTGTCTGTAGGACACAGCGAACATGGAGATTGCCGGGTATGTGCCTCCGGGGGTGCGCAGGAGAGTGCGTTCTGGGAGGACATCATATGACGCCCTCCCAGAACTGGCCGGCCTTCATAGTCAGGGGCGCCCACCAACAACTCTAAATTAGAAAGCTAGACAAAGAATGACTAAAGCCTGGGGCTCTAATTAAAACCTAACGTCATCTTGTGCACAAATAAAAAACTAATACCATTATCACAAGGATATATATAATATATATAATCATACAATAACCATAATGAGGCTGTATATTGGCAAGGAAAGGGAGAGGAGAGGAAGAGGAATGGAAATAAGGGACATGGGATGTATTATTGCATGGATAAATATGCACTTAACTAATATAAAGCTGATTAGTAAAAGTAAATAGATGATAGATAATAAATTGCAAATATACCGTGCGCCATATGTGATTATCGCAATGTGCACATAATATTGAAAATTGCACTCAGTAAATTACAAAGGGGGGGGGGGGGGGCAGACGCCCTCCTAAAGTATATTGGGATCATACCACCCTTGAATGTGAAGCAGAAAGGAACTATACTGAATGCAGTAAATTATGTGATTGGAAGGTGAACCCATAATATTATAGATAATAATTAGATTATAATTCTTTATAATAGGGGAGTTATATGTTATATACTTACTTATGCGGGGACAACCCACCACCCCAGACAGTTATCCACCCAACCATCTGTAACAAATAAAAACAAATAGATTAGGAATAAAAAAAAAAGTAGTTCAATCATAATATAACATTATAGAACAGTAGATAATTCAATGTCCTCGCTAAGGCCACTGGGTGATAGGGTATCAAGGGTGTATATCCAATATGTCTCCCGTTCGCAGGGCTTATGAAATTGCTCTGCTTCTGGGAGACATCTGGGTACTTGTTCCATAATCCAGACCTCTAGGTCCTTTGTGGACTTTTTGTGGTACTCAGCAAAATGTTTCAGAATGCTGTGTTTGTCCTTTCCCTCTTCCACCAGTTGGCGGTGCTCACCAAACCGCTTCCTCAGAGGGCGAATGGTGTGGCTTATATAAAGTAAGTTGCAAGGACATGAAATGCAGTATACTACAAATTCTGAGGAACAATTGTAAAAGTCCTCTCTTTTATATGTTTTCCCTTTAGTGCTGAATTCTTTCTTTCCATGTTGGATGAAAGAACATGTCTTGCACAGTGGCTTTTTGCACTGAAACACGCCTACAAGAGGTATTAGACAATTGCTAACTGCAGATTTTTTTAAACTGGACTTCATTTTTCTGGGAACGATTTTGTTTTTAAAATTCAGAGCTCTCCTATAGGTCACAAGAGGTTTTTTAGGAAGTAACAGCAACAAGTGTGGATCTTCTAATAATATTTCCAGTGTTTTGTGAAGATTTTTTCCATTTTTTTGTACTGTTTGTGAAACCTGGTAATAAACCTGGTGGACTGATCAAAGTTTTCTCTATCTTTCCTAGCAGGTAAGTCCTCGAGGTAATAATGGAAATGCATCCTGAATGATGTATTCTGGATAGTCTTTTTCTAACAGCTTGTTTTTAAGAATGGAACTTTGCTTAACAAAATCAACAGTTTTGCTGCAGTTAAGCCTAAGGTGGCAAAATTGACCTTTTGGTATTTGTCCATTTAGTGACAATTGTTATAATGTAGCAGTGAATTACCCGCTGTGGGCTTTTTATAATTCCTACTAGAGATGAGCGAATTATTCAAAAATTCGATTCGGCTGATTCGGCGAATTCGCGGAATAAATTCGATTCGAGTCGAATATATTCGCTGCGAATTTAACTTATAAAAAGGGTGTTTATAGGCTTCAGAGAGCCTTTATATTAGTGCAGAACACTGTACCTTTAATTTAAATGCCCTTGGAGTCTGCTGGGGAAGAGAAATAATACTGTCAGTCAGTATGACATGCAGATGAGTGCCGTCGATCTTAGAATCACCGCACACTTCACTCATTTGGGCAGTCATGGGGCCAAAACCAGAGTATGGAGCCACAGTGTGGCGGTGGAGGCAGCAGCAATGGGAGGCCATACAGCACCCTATGACAAAATGGAACCCACCAGCAGTGTGAGGAGACCTGAAAGTGGCACATGGCAGAGTGTGGCGATGGAGACAGCAGCAATGGGAGGCCGTACAGGGACCCATGACACACTCTGGACCTGGCAGCAGCATGAGGAGGCGGTACAGGGGCCCATGACAGATTACGGGCCTGGCAGCAGCATGAGGAGTCGGTACGGGGGCCCATGGCAGATTACGGGCCTGGCAGCAGCAATGGGAGGCCCGTAATCTGCCAGCACACTATGACAAAATGGAACCCACCAGCAGTGTGAGGAGACCTGAAAGTGGCACATGGCAGAGTGTGGCGATGGAGACAGCAGCAATGGGAGGCCGTACAGGGACCCATGACACACTCTGGACCTGGCAGCAGCATGAGGAGTCGGTACGGGGGCCCATGGCAGATTACGGGCCTGGCAGCAGCAATGGGAGGCCCGTAATCTGCCAGCACCCTATGACAAAATGGAACCCACCAGCAGTGTGAGGAGACCTGAAAGTGGCACATGGCAGAGTGTGGCGATGGAGACAGCAGCAATGGGAGGCCGTACAGGGACCCATGACACACTCTGGACCTGGCAGCAGCATGAGGAGGCGGTACAGGGGCCCATGACAGATTACGGGCCTGGCAGCAGTATGAGAAGTCGGTACGGGGGCCCATGGCAGATTACGGGCCTGGCAGCAGCAATGGGAGGCCCGTAATCTGCCAGCACCCTATGACAAAATGGAACCCACCAGCAGTGTGAGGAGACCTGAAAGTGGCACATGGCAGAGTGTGGCGATGGAGACAGCAGCAATGGGAGGCCGTACAGGGACCCATGACACACTCTGGACCTGGCAGCAGCATGAGGAGGCGGTACAGGGGCCCATGACAGATTACGGGCCTGGCAGCAGTATGAGAAGTCGGTACGGGGGCCCATGGCAGATTACGGGCCTGGCAGCAGCAATGGGAGGCCCGTAATCTGCCAGCACCCTATGACAAAATGGAACCCACCAGCAGTGTGAGGAGACCTGAAAGTGGCACATGGCAGAGTGTGGCGATGGAGACAGCAGCAATGGGAGGCCGTACAGGGACCCATGACACACTCTGGACCTGGCAGCAGCATGAGGAGGCGGTACAGGGGCCCATGACAGATTACGGGCCTGGCAGCAGCAATGGGAGGCCCGTAATCTGCCAGCACCCTATGACAAAATGGAACCCACCAGCAGTGTGAGGAGACCTGAAAGTGGCACATGGCAGAGTGTGGTGATGGAGACAGCAGCAATGGGAGGCCGTACAGGGACCCATGACACACTCTGGACCTGGCAGAAGCATGAGGAGGCGGTACAGGGGCCCATGACAGATTACGGGCCTGGCAGCAGCATGAGGAGTCGGTACGGGGGCCCATGGCAGATTACGGGCCTGGCAGCAGCAATGGGAGGCCCGTAATCTGCCAGCACCCTATGACAAAATGGAACCCACCAGCAGTGTGAGGAGACCTGAAAGTGGCACATGGCAGAGTGTGGCGATGGAGACAGCAGCAATGGGAGGCCGTACAGGGACCCATGACACACTCTGGACCTGGCAGCAGCATGAGGAGGCGGTACAGGGGCCCATGACAGATTACGGGCCTGGCAGCAGCAATGGGAGGCCCGTAATCTGCCAGCACCCTATGACAAAATGGAACCCACCAGCAGTGTGAGGAGACCTGAAAGTGGCACATGGCAGAGTGTGGTGATGGAGACAGCAGCAATGGGAGGCCGTACAGGGACCCATGACACACTCTGGACCTGGCAGCAGCATGAGCAGGCGGTACAGGGGCCCATGACAGATTACGGGCCTGGCAGCAGCATGAGGAGTCGGTACGGGGGCCCATGGCAGATTACGGGCCTGGCAGATGACGACGAGGCTGCCAAGTGCGATCAGCCTCATCATCATCAATTAGGGTCTCCGCCTCACTACTAGCCCCCTCGGCTGCGTGTGGGTCAGGAGACAGACCTGTCTCTAGACCGGCTACCGAGCCACTCTCCTCGCCAGTACTTCTTCGCCTGGCTGCTGAAGAGGCGGATGTCTCCCCCCGTTCCTGACCGCCCTCTGTTAGCTCTTCCTCACTGTACAGTGGGGCTGAGCCCACAGCATGCGATACTTCACTTGGTGAGGGAACACCAAAGGACAGGGGCATGTAGAGGACACGTGATTTCAGTGGGCTTGCTCCCGGGCCATGCCAACTAACGGTTGTGTCTGACGTACCCACCAACCATTGGCTGTAGGTGTCAGAGGTGACCTGGGAAGAGGAAGACGACCGAGCCAACCAATCGATGACGGCAGGGTTGTCGGTGGAGACACGACCGCTGGATGACACCGGGAGCACTGGCCTCTGGCTGCGACTAGTGCTGCCTCGACCCCTTCCTCTGCTGCCACGTCTGCTCGCTCCTGAACCATTGCCTCCTCTGCCACTCCTCTGCGTGTTGTCTGACATACTCTTTAATTCAACGATTCTGTGTCCCTGAGTAACGATTCTGTGTCCCTGAGTAACGATTCTGTGTCCCTGAGTAACAATTCTGTGTCTGTCCCTGAGTAACGATTCTGTGTCCCTTAGTAACGATTCTGTGTCCCTCAGTAACGATTCTGTGTCCCTCAGTAACGATTCTGTGTAACGATTCTGTGTCCCTGAGTAACGATTCTGTGTCCCTCAGTAACAATTCTGTGTCCCTCAGTAAC